CCCACTAGCCTTTTATAAGAAATTAGCTTTCCTGAAAGAATGACGGCCATACAAATGTGCAAAAAAACTTGATCTGTTCTGCTATTTTATATATGGATAGTGTGGTAGGTCGCTGTTCTGGGAGGGGTGGGGGGCATATCTGCTAAAGCGAGCAGCCAATGGCATCTCAATATAGCTGAGTCAGGAGACTGGGCAGCTAATGTTGGGGATGGGCCAGTAAATTATCAGATGAGGCCTGGTAATGCTAACCCCATGTGCCTGTCTGCGTGCATTGAGTAGGTACCTACAGAGTTTAAGATTAAATTATACAACTTGCAGAGTTAACATCTGGTGCCAAGACTACAGGCCATACATAAGCTCAAAGAGGTTTTGCCTGCCAAAACACACTTTATTTAGTGCAGTGCCATCTGTGGGCTGACAGCTTGCTTGCTGCAGTTATATGCATTGCCTAGATGTTTAAACAATTTTCACATATTTGAATGCCCCAGACAAAATACTATGGTCTTTTGTTATTTGCGTTTCTTTGACTTCCCAGTTTTGACCAACTATATTTTATAGTGTTTATTTATTTATGTGTTGTGTGCCTATATGTTTCTCCATAGTGTTTTTTTTTCATGTGTTTTTTACATTTCTCGCTATGAGTTGAATAGACATTTGTGAAAGGCTTATCCCAGTTTAACATAAATCATTTTAGAATGTTTACTATGGAACAATGGTCTAGGTGTGGTCTTTCAGAAATGTCAGTGGAAGATTTAGGGGTCTGTTATTAGGGGCAGTTGTATCATGATACAGTTAGAACCTGCCATAGAGTCTGTGGATCTATTGGCAGAGAGCAAGTTATAAAACAGGGGGTACAGGTTGCGCCAAGAAATATATAACAAGATACTAATAGGTACTTGTTATATAAATGAAAGAGGTACTAATATGGAGAAACCACACAAGAAATATAAAAATACAATTTTAAAAATTCCAAATGGAATATGAAGGGTCTAAAATAGTCCTAGAGAGCAGATAATCTTCAGATATATAATGTATAAAGTAATTGAGCCAATCTGTCGCCACTGTCAGCATATGAAAAAAAACAGAAGACAGAAGGAACCAATAGTGCAATATGGCAGGTAAAGTGTGCTACAGACAACACTGAGATATAAAAATGCCAACTCGCATGTTATAGAGCTATGCCCAGCTCTAGGTAAAACAGCATAAAGTGGTGTAGTCCCCACTTGCAGGATATCCCATTGATGGTAATTTCACAGCTTGATAGTGATGGTATAGGATTTTTGTATTTGTATTGACGTTTGTATCCTTATTAGGGGGTAATAAGCATGTGGGGGTGTATTTAAAAAATCCCCCTTTCTGTCTCATTAGAGATATCTTTACCAGAAGCTCAAGGAAGCAAGGTGAAAGGTTAGTGCAGGACCCACCTGAGAGGTTTGCTTTGACGTGGCAGGTGGGCTAAAGTCTCTCATGGGCATTGGAGTAACTAAATAACCTCCATTTTGTTTAAATATGCAGAGGGATTTGGGAAGAGCGCAGGTAACTTTCTTTTCTTTGACTTTTACTGTATGTATTGGGGCTGATGTGTACTATGGTCATTGCTGCTGCCCAGGAGTGATGGGAGTTTGTGCGCAGGACTTTTGTTTTTTTATTTGTTTAGGATTGTGCATGACAATCTGTAAAATTTCGCTGTTTGCTTATGGACAGTTTCATCAATAAAATATCTGACCACAGACAGCTGTTCAATTTGCTAAGATTTCTGGTCTCATCAACAAAAGGTGGAAGCAAATGCTTTGATATGTTCGGCTTCATGGAATTAATTTTCGTGAAAAGCATTGAACTGCAGCCTCAAAAACGGTACAAAAAACTTTTTTGACATAAATAAATACAAAAAATTGTAAATTACTGCAGACAATCTCGACCCCCTCAGACCTAATGCGTTTCATGCAGGGTCGCACACCTAGTCATAGATACCAGCATAGTGCACACACCTCTGTTTAACCCCTTAAGGACCAGACTTCTGGAATAAAAGGGAATCATGACATGTCACATATGTCATGTGTCCTTAAGGGGTTAAATATCTAAAGGCATGTTCCAACTTAGCCCATGTACTACCGGAGACCCAGGCTAACACAATACAATAATATAATATAAAGTGAAATATATTGCATTAATAATAAAATGCCCTTAATCCAGAAGAAGTGGAAAGATTGTTCACTAGTCGTGTAACACAGAAAAAAAAAGAGAAAAGAGAAAAAAAAAAAAGATTGGATGGGCATATCTACTAAACCAAAAGACAATAAAGTAAGTAAAAATATATTCACATCACCAAATAATCTTCCTAATGAATTAATATAAAATTTAAATGCAAAATAATAAATACAGAAGTACTAAAACAGTATGACACTAATAGCTTGGCAAAAATATTAGCAAAGCAGCAACAATTTTATAACATGACAGGAGGCTTCGTATTTGCTTAGTCTCTCTTTAATAGAACTCCACAGCAGCACAGAAAAACAACCAATCAGAGAAAAGTTAGGTACTATAAAACTCCCCTTCCCATGCATCATTTCCTCTTTCTTTGCTGCTCCGCAGTCAGTACAGGTCAGAGTACCACTGCCTCCTGCTAATATTAGTGGGTGGCTTTGGGTTTATTGATGATTTATTTATGAGTTTTATATATTTATTTATATATTATATATATATATATATATATATATATATATATATAGTTTAGTTATATATTATATATGTTATTTGGTTATATATATTTAGTTTTATATTATATATATATATATATATATATATATATATATTTCATTGTATTATGAGATTTAGTTTGGGGTTTCTACACCTTCTACACCTTACACCTCTTGCTCCCCCTGTTGCGCTGGGGATGTTTGCCATTCAGGGTGGGGGTTTTTATGGGGGTTTTTGCCTGGGGGGACCTTCAGTCTGCTCTCCCTTTGTTGTTTCACCGTTGTTTTTTAAACCCCCCCCTCCCCCACTTTCCAGCGCCGCCGGACCACGGGCGTTCCGCTCGGGGAGGCAGGAGACTAGCCATTGGGCTGCCTCCTCTGATTCCCTGAGCTGCAGTGTGAGCCTGCCGGTGCCCAGGATTTCTCACGTGCTTACGCGAGTACCCGGTGGCCAGATCTGTTCACACACGTGGGCCGCCAGCTCATGGGCTCCCCCCCACCATAGTGATTGGGGATCAAGGTCTTTTCTCTGAAAGCTGTTTCAAATGTGGAACAGCCAGACGCATCCTGCTCCCATTTTACAGCTTCTTTTAGCTCGTTTTCCTATTCTGCTTGTTATATTATCGCTTATCAGATCATTTGTGGGATACAATGCACAGGCAGACTTGTTGTATGTTAATGATGGTTTTAGGGAAAATTGGAGGTTTATAGGCTGGGATTCTGGAGCTGCACACGGCCTGCCTGCCAGGGATAACCACACATTGGTGTACTCCTAGTGAGGAATCAGAAGTGCTTGTTACCACTTTACATGCTTACCCTGTTATACTTAACAGTAGAGGTTTGCTGCAATTCTTGTTTTGCAAAGTCCAGTCGGAGTTAAACTAACTAGGTTAAGTGACTGTTTTTTGTTACACTTTTATCTTGTGTCCTTTTGTCCCAATCCCTGTGCTTCAATATATAGGTTCATAGTTCATCTCTGGAGTCAGAGATGGATCCTATTTAACGTGATGTTTCACTGTCTATGGCAGATATAAAATTCTATTGTTTAACCCTTTTACTGGAAGATACCATGAGTACAGTACCCTTCGGGTCAGTGGCGTACATACCAGGGTCGCAGGGGTCGCGGCTGCGACCGGGCCCGGTGTTCTATCAAATTTCCCTACCCCGTTAGAAAACCCTACCCGCGTCACTTCCAGTGACGAAGCCGCACCGGAAGTGACGTTGGGACGGGGGGGTGCGCCACCGCGCAGGCGCACACCACCCAGGTAGGGACTTTGCACAGCGAGTAGTCGACAAAAGGCATAGTGCGCACGCGCGCCAAAGTACTCCCGTCGGAGGTACAGCGCGCGTGCGCACTTGGGGACAGGGAGCGCTTCTCACACACCGCGCATGCGCAGTATAGGGGTAGGGAAATCTGATGGCCATTAAGCCCTGTGAAATCTCCCTACCCCTATACTGCGCATGCGCGGACTCTGATCGTCTGAGTACAGCATTTTCTGGGAACAGGTCAGTCTCTCCCTGCTCCCAACACTCTCAGCCATCCGAGGGGAGGGGGTTCTATATTAGGGGGGGTTCAGTGCATTATATTGGGGAGTGGGGGGTTTTAGTACATTATTATATTGGGGTCTGCACTATATATGGGGGTCTGCACTATATATGGGGGTCTGCGCTCTATAGGGGGGTCTGCACTATATATGGGGGTCTGCGCTGTATAGGGGGGTCTGCGCTGTATCTGTGTCTGCGCTATATAAGGGGGTCTGCGCCGTATATGGGGTCTTCGCTGTATGGGGAGGTCTGCGTAGTATATTGGGGGGTCTGTGAAATGTATTGGGGCAGTGTGTTAGATGGAGGGGCTGTTTGTTACATGTGGGGGGGCAGTGTATTATATTTGGGGGCTGTGCGTTAGATGGTGAGCTGTACAGTACGTGTGGCCTGTGTGTTAGATGTGTACAACCCTAGTTTCACAGAAAAATATTTATTTCCTAGATATCATATGCCAAAGCATGCTTTTTGCTATGAAACCGCAGCCATCTAGTTACTCGCCAGAGAAGGATGAGAAACTGCACCCTAGCGAGAGGGACAGCCCCACATCTGCAACCAAATTCGTCGGTCACCGAATTCAGTAATCTCTGTCTCTTTGTGCATTGTGTATGTATGGTACTCCCAATTCTTATATTTAATCCGGTGTGTCTCCCACAATCTTTGTGTCTGTCTGCTGTATGTATGTGGCACGCAAGTCTGCACGCACTGTGTCTGTTATGCCAGTTACTCTAACCAGTTTATTTCTTTTTGTGTGTGTCACAGCTCTGACAAGCATGTTCTCCTATGGGATACGAAGTACATGAAGAGGAATGAAGAAGCCCATGTTTGATGCTCGTCTCCAGGGTGGAGTATTGAATTTATAACTAATGAAGTGGCATCTGACACATGACAAGCTGCTCCTGTTTGCACAGCAACTTCAACATTGTGTACTGTGATCACGGCATAGTTCAGAGGTAGGTAACCTTGGGCAGTCCAGATGCTGTGAATTACATCTCCCATAATGCTGGCAAACCATTATGGGAGATGTAGTGCAAAACCTCTGGAATACCGAATGCGGATGAATGCAAAGTATGGTGTGTGAATGGTCAGTAACAAGGGTTGAAGCCTTGACGTGGCGTTACTGCTCACATGTGTATTCATGTGCCAATTCAACCAATGTGAGTCACTGTAATACTTATAAGGTAACCAAAAGTACTGTGATTGTGGAGAATGAAACTCCTTATCCTATGAAATCTCCTATACACTGCTGACACTGTGACCGTATCTCCTATACACTGCTGACACTGTGACCGTATCTCCTATACACTGCTGACACTGTGACTGTATCTCCTATACACTGCTTACACTGTGACCGTATCTCCTAAACACTGCTCACACTGTGACCGTATCTCCTAAACACTGCTCACACTGTGACCGTATCTCCTATACACTGCTGACACTGTGACCGTATCTCCTATACACTGCTGACACTGTGACCGTATCTCCTATACACTGCTTACACTGTGACCCAATCGCCTAAACACTGCTTACACTGTGAATGTTATTTTTTTCAAGTTTGTTTTAGTGTTTGCGGTTTCATTGATTTGTTAACCATTCTCCTCACTCTTCTGTTCTGTGTTTTCTTACATTTGTGGGAAGAACAAGGTGATCCTCTCAATTTTACACTCCTTTACTGATGGTTCCAGTGCCAGAGACAACCCCACCACCATTAACCTCGACCTGCTCAAACAGAAGAGATTACCTTCTTCTATAGAAAACGTCCTTATGGCTGTTTCGGAACACATGGTGCAGACATGATGTAACCTTAATTTTCCAGTGATTAAGACTCGTGGACCGTCCAGGGAAAGAGACCATTACATTATTAAGATACTACCTTCCTAATGCCATACAGCCTTTCTTTACATGTGATCATGTGATTGAACTTTCTCCTTCTTGGATACCACAGTGTGACTTTTCTTAACCAGTTTCCAAATTTGACTTTTATATTTTTTCCACTATACATATAAAGTCTAAAATGCATATTAATTTTGAAGAAATAAAGTATTTTGCTGACACCTTAACATGCGATTTGTGTTACTTAGCTACAAATAATACCATCACTAGCTGCGTTCCATTGTAGTTTATCAGAAACTGCGATATTTAACATTGCAAGATTAAGGGGACATTGGCACTGCACCCAAACCATTTAAACGAGATGACGTAAGCTTTTAAAGAGCAACTTCTTACTATGCTTATTGCTATCTTTTGAAAGTCATCACATTTATAAGCAAAACTATGCATAGGCACAGTGACACGAGGACCTATATGCACCATAAATTATCATATGTTGTTACAAAGCCATATTTCCTAACAGTCCTGGATTGTTTAGTAGAGTCCCAGTTTGGGTTTGCTCTCCACTGTCCCACAATAATTAACAAGTTAACATTATTACAGACAAATTACTGTACATTTAAAAATTAAGAGTTTAAATTTTTTTTTAAAGTGGCAATATAAAAAAGACAAACAATATTTAAATTTCTTATTTAACAAAATTGAAAAAGTATGTTGTCAATTAATTACATAATAATTGCACATGTGACCTAATATCAGATATTGTTATTGTCACCCCTCCCTTACTGTCACCTCACCTCATCACCCCTTGTCACCCCCCTCTTACGGTCACCTCACCATCACCCCCTCACTCTGTCATCCTCCTCACACTATGTCACCCACCCTCACTGTCACTCACCCTTACTGTGTCACCCATACTCTCACATTACGTCACCCCTCTCTTACTCTCTCATTCCCCCCTCACCTCATCACCCTCCCTCTCACACTATGTCACCCTCCCCACCCGGCCACCACTCTCCGCACTCTGGCACCTCCCTCAATGCACACCGTCAACCCTCAACACGCAGGCACCCTCCTGCTCTTTTACACTCACCCTGCCACAGTTACCCCTTTACTCACCCTGTCACCCCCCCAAAGGCAATCATTATACACACCGTCATAAAACATAGCTTCGCTATAAACTCAGTGCCAAAGGCCAGTCAGTACACAAACATACACATGCTCAGAGAAACATACATACAGATACAAGGATACTCACTGTCAGATAAACACACTCGGGTAGACAATGCAATGATGTAAACAGAGACTAGCTCTGTGTATCCAGTGCTGCAAGCTCCACCAGGGACGTTTTAGCCACGAGGCAAACAAGGCATTTGCCCTGGGCATTTGGGGGCGGCTTTTTTTGCCGCCCCCAAATGCCCAGGGCAAATGCCTTGTTAGCCTTGTGGCTAACTGACATGCTGGGCTGGCGGGCGGCATGGTGAGGGAGCACTTCCTCTGAGCTGTCTGCTCAGCTCCCTCGCGCGCCACAGAGTGAGGCTGGTAGCCGGAACATGACGTCATATTCCGGCTCCCAGCCTCACAATGCAGCGCGTGAGGGAGCTAAGCAGACAACTCAGAGGAAGTGCTCCCTCGCCAGCTGCCCTAGTGCTCCTTAAGAAGGGGAACCAAGCCCCTCCCACAACTTCAGGCCACGCCTTCCATTTGTGGTCACGGCATAAAGCCGTAGCATTAGTAACATAAGACAAACAGGGAATAGAAATGTCAGTTGTGGTGTGCCGGAACTGATGAGGTAGAAGGCCTGAAATAAAAGAGGGCAAAAAAGATATAAACCAGTTTATTCATCCTATAGATACATCATAGCATATCACATATTCATGGTCTTGAATGCTAGGCGCACCTCTTGTATTGGCTAAGGGATGTATCTTGTGTAAGCCGTGGATTTCCACCGACCTAAAATTTTGATTATGTGAGCCGGGATATTCTTCTTAGAAGCCGTAGTGGCGGCTCCTATTCTAAATGAGTGACCAGAGTAATTTGCGGGGTTAAATCCTAAAAGGACCAACAACATTCTAACATACACCATGAATTTACTCGTAGTAAGCTTATTACCGTGTAATGTAAGGAGTGGTTGTGTTGGAGCTATTGTACAAGAGGAAAGATATTTGTCGAAAACTTCCACCAGACACCAATTATTATTAGTGGGGTAATAGGTGATAGTGACTGTCTGTCCTTTGGCAGTAGTTTTTTTATGGTAGGGATAGCAGGTAGTGATCTTGTACCTTCACCAGGTTTGACCTTGTGATGAAGTTGGGGGAGTTATAGTTAGGAGTGGTGAACTCTTTGGGCCGAAGAAAACCGTAAAAGGCCAAATAGATGGCTGTTTTAATTATACGGTTTGTATGAGCTTCGAATGGTGAGGTGTCTAGCAGATTGGATAGTGACTGAAACAAAAGATCGTGAATGGGTAGTCTGGACGGTGAGGGTATAGGGGTGGAGTCTTTAATACCTTTAAGTATGGCTTTTGTGGCGAAACCGACCTCGCCAGTGGGCATTGGAGAAGACTGATTGCCAGCCTCCTGCCATGTGACTATGGCCCCTGGGATGTATTGCCCTTTAAAGACATGATTTGGGCATAAGAGATTTGTGTTGTGCTGCTGCTGGCCCCTTAAGAACCATCTGGGGACATACTTTGGAGTTACTGGGTGGCCACCATTTCCTGTATCAGAAGCACATGGTGAGAACAATGGAGGAATCACATGGTGAGAACAATGGATGGCGGCCATTTTAATTCACAGACACTGTTTGGACTTTTTAACACGGTGCCATCTCGCCAGTATTTGGTGCACAGAGACATCGTGCAGTGGTTTTGGACTATACAGCAGGGGACACATTATACAGTGATTGTTTTTCATTTAGCCTGTATATGTTCTGCAGAATCTGCATTAAACTGTATCTTCCAAAGTACTGAACGGATCTGGGTGAATTTGGGATATGTGGTTCACCCAGATCCCCCGGTTCCAAGGATTTATGGAGTTATTGCATGTTTTGGGGTCCCTGTGATGTGTTTTATGAAACTGTATTTCTCTGTCTGTGATAATTAGATTACCCATTGTGTAAGGTAATTGTATCACAGGCAGAGGGGAGGATTTTGTGTGGGAGTGTCTTTCTGTAATGTACGTGTGTTATTGGTTTTTCTGTAAAACCCTGTGGGCAATACTAAGTTTGTGGATTGGGAATAAAAGAGGCTGTATGTGCCAGTCCAGTCAGTTCCTGCTTAATCCTCAAAGTGAAGTGTCGTCTCATTATTGGGGGAGGATTTATTGTATGCTGTTCCAGTTTGACTGCTAGGAGTGTAAACCTATTTGCATGGTTTTTCCTATTCGGCTGTATACAACATTCATATGCTTGAGAGCCTTCATATGCTCCCACGGTTCCCGTGGTTTTGGTGTCTGCTGCAGTGCTTGGAGTCCTCAGGAAGTGCTAGGAGCATCCTTCAATGGAGGTATCCAGTCGGGGTGCTAGGTGATCCGTTACAGCTTTAACTTGGTAGGATGACAGAAATCGTTGTCTATTAGGCCAAGTTGTGAGGACGTGATGTTGAATACCTGTGATATACAACTTAATGGTATTGTATGATGAAGGTGGCAAAAAGAAATGAATGCCATGATTGTCTCAATGGAAAATTGTTCAATGACATTAAAGTCCAGCAAGAATTTATTGAAAATATTATATGCTCTGCCATATGCTTTCCTGGTGTTATCGGAAAGACCGAGTTGCGAAAGTTGTTGCCCGTGATAGAGCAGTTCTTTTAGTCCCAAACCATTTCCTGCCACTGAGGTACTGGAGTCGGTGTCAGGGTAGCTGTTGGTAGTGCTGCCCGGAACTCCTGAAACCAAGACCGTGATAAGTTATCAGCAGCGATATTGAGAACCCCAGGCACATGAATGCAAGTTAAAAGAAAACTGTGTTTTTCAGCTAGCCAAGTGAGAGTCCTCATAAACCGCATGATGGCCAGGGAAGAGGAACGTCCCTTGTTTACAATATGGCACGTTGCCATGTTGTCCGAGAAGCAACGCACCGTATTCCCAGACCAGCCAGCTCCCCACTTAACTGCTGCTGCCACAATGGGATAGAGATCAAATAAGGCTGATGTGTCCTTGAACTTGGGGATTTCAGTAACTTCCCCCGGCCACTTACCCCACATCCATTCATTGCCACAAATAGCTGCAAATCCTGAAGTTGCAGCGGCATCCGTCCAGACTGACACGACTTATCTGACCATACCGGGATAAAAATGCTTTTCCCATTCCAATTTAGCAAAAATTCCCTCCACATATGTAGGTTAGTGGTGGCATGTACGTTTAACGTAATGCGGGAGGCATCAGATTGCAATAGGGGAAATAGACTAAGCAAACGGGAAATGAACGCTTTCCCCTGTGGAATTATTTTCATGACGAAATTTAGTGAACCCAACAGGGATTGAAATTCCTTCCTATTACATGAGCAACCTGCTAGGTAAAGATCGATGACTGCCAGGATGCGATCAATCTTCACCCCGGGGAGACTAGCCTGCATATGTACAGAGTCCAGCACCACCCCCAAGAAGTTGATTGTATCTGGACCTTCAATCTTTGTAGGCGAAACAGGTACTCCTAGTTGTGTGAACAGTCGTGTTATGGACAGGAGGCTACTAGGAGGTACCAGGTTCCTTTCTATGGTCAGGAAATCGTCCAGGTAATGGATCACGGTTGGGCATTTACAGATGTTAAGCAGCATCCAGCACATCGTCTTAGCAAATATATCAAAAATCCTGGGGCTGCTCTTAGAACCAAACGTGAGGCGCGTAAAAAAATAATATGAACCTTGCCACTTAACACCATGTAAATGCCACAGGGAAGGGTGGATAGGGAGTAACTTAAAAGCGTTTACAATATCCGTTTTACTCAGCCATGCCCCTACCCAGGCAGAGAGGATGGCAGTGACGGCATTATCTATGGTCGCATATTGGAGGGAAAATTGGAAGATTTATTAGTGACCAGTCCTATGGGGTTAGTTCTCCAGACCCCGAAAGGCGGGGAGACGAAAGGGCCTATTAAGAAACCTTGGTCAACTTCCTTCTGGAGG